TTGACCCCTTCTCGACTCTACTCGTCAAGTTTAGCAATGACTCGACGAGTTCTCCTTATATAATACCATCGAATGAACCTTCATCCGACTCGCCGAGTTGTATGAACAACTCATCGAGTTCACCTTCATCCTATGAACATGTCCAGTCTGTGACTCGCCGAGTTGTATGAACAACTCGTCGAGTTCATCTTCAAAAGTTGGGATTGCCTTGGACTCGCCGAGTATGTTCATACACTCGCCGAGTCCTATGATTTCTAGATCATGGCTCTTTCTCAAAATGTCACAACACTCCTTGGGACTTTTCTAATCTTCTGCTAACACTCAACTGGGTTCCTTTGGACCCATAACAGAATGGGGACACAAGCCTCGGACTCGCCGAGTTCCAAGAACACTCGTCGAGTTGATGTTGTACAAGTCTTATTTTCTCGATTTCTGATGTACAACACTCATCCAAAAGATAGATCTGGGCTTCTAAGATCGATCTAGCACGTAAAGTTACAAACTTTACGTGCATGCATGGGAGTATAAGCTTAATGGACCCAAAATGAGGTCTAAAGGTGTATGTGGCTCTCTATGACTACAAAATTGGTCACTTTACGCCATGTAGTCCCTTAAGGACATTGGATCTGGAGTCCTAGCCCCCAACCATGCTTGCACTCATGATAGTCACCAAAAATGGTTCCTAAAGGCCCTAATTCACTCCAAAAAGGGATCTAGAACATGAAAGAGCAAGGTATTAGCTTTTTACCTCTAAGGAACTGAAGATGCTGCACAAACTCGAAATCTTTTGGTTTCCTCTTGGCTCCTCAAGCTTTTCCTTCTTTCTTGTGATTACAAACCATCAAAAATCACCAAAAAGGGCCTTAGATCTCACAAAACAATTAGGCTTTCGGTATGAGGTGTTCTGGGAGCATAAGGGACAATGGAGGCTGCATTAAGACATTTGAATAGGGTGTCGTCCCTCAGATTTAGTGTTTTGTCCAAACAGCTCCTACTCGCCGAGTCAGTCTCCGACTCGTCGAGTAGGACAATTAAACTTCCCGCGGATCCCATCTCTACTCGACGAGTTGGGCCATCAACTCGTCGAGTCCCAGAGAAAATACATACAATTCTTAAATAAAATACATATCAGGAATCCGGTGTTACAATATACTTCAATGTCTTCTTCATCAATATCATAATCAGAATCATCATCATCATAATCAGTATCTTCATCGGAAACATTATCGATTCTATCCGTTGGTGGAGGTACTTCAGTCTCGTCTTCATCGTCATAATCAACATTGTTTTGAGCTATATCAACATTGTTTTGAAAGTATTGTGAGAAGTTGATAAAACGTCTAGCTCCAGATGAAGAGTTGTTTTGAACTACGTCAACATTTTCGGCCTCCACATTGTCGACATCTTGGACAGAGTCACTGTAAGCATTTTGGACACGAGCATTGTCGGATGGTATATCCTAAATATTTCGATGATTAACATGCTCGACGACACAACGAGGGTTGTTGTTTTGGTTTCTTCGATGATTAACAGGCTTGCAAATGTAGAACACTTGTTTGGCTTGCGAAGCATATATGAGTTGATCATCTTGGTACGCTTCTTTTTCTGTGTCGAGACTTATGAAATTATCATCAGGAATATCTCCCGTATCGAACCACTTGCACCGAAAATATTACAGTCGAATAATCATATGGATATTGCACCTCCATAATCTCTTCTAACTGGCCATAATATTTCTCTCCATTCTCACCAACCGCTAGAACCCCAGAGTTTTGTGTTTTGCGTTGTGCATCACGACTAAGTACCATAAACCTAACACCGTTGACTATGCACGCGGTGTAAGTATAAACATCCATTTGTGAACCCATTGAAAGGGCTGACAACTCTTTGTGGAATTCTGGAGAGTTTTCTTTTTCCATCTGATAAACCTATTAAACGTATGTTGTTGTGTTATGTATTCTTGATTCGTTATATTTATCAAAGATATTTGTTTGTTAATTATTATTACCTTTTCAAGAAATCAGTTGGGAAATTCGGTCTTTTCGTCACTTTCAGGATGTTCAGATTTGAATTTTCTATATATATATATATATATATATATATATATATATATATATATATATATATATAATTGATGAATGGAAAAAAGTGACAATAAATAATGAAAGATAATTAAAAGTAAGAACACTTACTCGATGTATTGTCTGACTTCTTGACAACTATTCAATATAAACCATTCTATATTACGTTTCTCCCTTATATCAAGATGTTTGATTTGCGTTGCGCTCGTCGGTCGACACTTGGACTCAAACATCCAAAACGTTGTTTTTTCAATGACAACTTCTTCGTTTCTTTCAAGGCGAGTGACATCTCGAAGGCGAGTGACATTAACTTGATGCAACTGAAACATAATTTAGTGTTTATGGTTTACTCTACGGGAAAAAAAATCAAGTAGAGTATTCATAAAGTTGATGATTCAAAAAGTATCCCAACATGGGAACACATGAACAAATAATCAGAAATGGATAAAGTATTCAAAAAGTATATATATATATATATATATATATATATATATATATATACTTTTTGAATACTTTATCCATTTCTGATTATTTGTTCATGTGTTCCCATGTTGGGATACTTTTTGAATCATCAACTTTATGAATACTCTACTTGATTTTTTCCCCGTAGAGTAAACCATAAATACTAAATTATGTTTTAGTTGCATCAAGTTAATGTTAATATTAAAATAAAATAAAATTAGTTTAAAAAATTAAACTAAATTAATAGCAACATACTTTCTCTTTGCTCCTAGGGTATATATATATATATATATATATATATATATATATATATATATATATATATATATATATACCCTAGGAGCAAAGAGAAAGTATGTTGCTATTAATTTAGTTTAATTTTTTAAACTAATTTTATTTTATTTTAATATTAACATTAACTTGATTTTAAAACTACTTTAATTTGATTTTACAATTAATTTATTATTTTTTTATTGATTTTTTAAAATTAATTTAATTTGATTCTATAATTACATTAAAATTAGTAGAAGTACGTTGCTATTAATAACCTAATTAAGCTAAAGTTGTAATGACCAACATTAAGTCACTAAAAGTATGTTACTATTAAGTTAGTTTTATAATTGATTTAATTTGATTTTATAAAGGTAACTTAATTTGATTCTAAAGGTAAATTAATTTGATTTTCTAATTAAACAAAATCAAACAAATGTGTATATATATCCAATTTCAATTTCATGCCAAATTTCATTTTTAAGCCAATGTGGTATAAACAAATATTACAAAAACATACACAAAATGCATAAAAACTTCCCACAAATCTGAAAAAGCATACAATATTCCAACAAAATGCATACAATCCAACAAAATGCACAAACACTTTTTATCTCAAAATATACAAACATAATCACTCAACAAAATTGAAAATTACTAACAATTTAATTTAATCCGAAATTTATTTAAGTAAAAATATAATTAATAATTTCTAAAAAATTAATTAGTCTAAGGCTTACTTAATCTAAAATAAATCAAATATTATAAAAAAAATATAAATAAATTTATGAAATTTTACATTAAAACTTTGGATTCAACTGAAAGGATTTTTCCATAATAGGGTAAACTTTGAAGATTTTAATTGAAGTTTCTTTGTTTACGACTAGATTTTTAATTATTATTTAGAGCAAGAGACCAAAACCGTACAAATCAGAGGTTGAGGGGCTGATCATATATATTTAGTAATGGAGCTTGGTTAAATCAGGAGGTATGATACCTCCTGATTCCTCCTCGTCGTTCATGCGTAAATAAGAAGCAGGAAAACAAAATACGAATGGTCTTGTGTTTATCCGTGATCTACGAACAAATCAAGAGATTAAAAGGGGATGGGTGGAGTGAACTTACGAAGAAGGAAGCAGCAGCACAGGTGGTATAAACAAAAATTACAAAATGCATACAATCCAATAAAATGCACAAACACTTCTTATCTCAAAATTACTAACAATTTTTCATCAAACATAACACCAAAACAGAAAAATAATAGAAAATAGGAGGAATTTGACCTTAAATGTGGGCAATTTCGAAATTAAGCTCAAGGGTCGCCGGTTTTGGAGGTTTTGGGGGAAGGTGTGGCGGTCTTGTGGCGGCAGGAGGGGCTAGCACCGGCTTTTACCTTCGTCCTCCACTTAGTCGACTCGTCCAAGTGATGAAAATGAGAAGCAGCAACAGAAACGAGAAAAGGAAAGGAGAGAACAGAAAAAAATGTCACCCAAAAGGAAACTGGAAGGGGTTATCTGTAAGGGGCATTAGCGGCGACAGGAAATAGCGGCGACGCAAGGGCATTAGCGGCGATAATTGGGCACTAGCGGCAACAAATCGGATGGATGGGGGTAATTTGACGCGGATCGCCGTTTGCGAGCATTACTGCGACCCTATAGCGGCGACACTGGGCAATAGCGGCGACATGTAACGCGTCAATTACATGTCGCCGCTATTGCCAGTGTCGCCGCTAAAGGGGTCACCGGTAATACCAAGATTTCTTGTAGTGTTATAAAAGGGTGGTGCCTAAACATGTTTGTGCAAAGGACTTTTAGTATGCTACTGGGCTATTCTATGATTGATGAGTTTAATTTGGATTCAAACTTGATCTTGGATTCAATCCCAAAACCTTTTTAATGTTGGGGTAAATAAGAAAATATTAAGGCTCTTTTTGGTGAAGTCCGTGGGGTATTGTAGCCATTTAACATAAAAAACGATAATGCACCCAAATCACATGCCTTGCATAAGCAAAAAATAACATTCCAAAATTCATGTGTTCATTCAAAATGGTTCTTGGTTTAACTTTTGGATTGGTTCGGTTTTGAGAAGTTGCACGTTACCGTTTAACACAAACTTATGAAAAGGAAGACCACCTTAGAAGATCCAATTGGTCTTGTCAGCAATCTCATGCTCCGTTTTACTTCAGCTTCATCTAGATATATATTTGAGTTGTTTATGTAAAGCATTGAGTGCATCAGCTTTCTTCTTGAATTCTCGGTCCTCGTGTTTATACTTGTCAGCATCTTTTACCATCTTTTCAATCTCTTCCTTACAGAGTCTACCATTTTCATTGGTAATCGTGAGTTTATTCTTCTGACCAGTTGCTAATATCTTGGTTGCGACTGTGAGGATACCATTGGCATCAATTTCAAAGCACACCTTGACTTGTTGCTGTCTTTTTCGAACCGGTGGTATTCCAGAAACTGTGAACATCCCCAACAAATGGTTATCTGTAGATCTGGCTCTTTCACCTTGATAGACCCTGATACCAACGGAAGTTTGGTTTTCAAAGGCTGTTCGATAAATTCTAGATTTTTTCCTAGGTATTGTAGTGTTACGTGGGATCACCACGTCAAATATTTCTCCCATTAATTGTATACCAAGGGACAAGGGAGTGACATCCAATAACACCAAATCTCCAAACCTAATTTTATCACTGTTAGGGTTTAACTTTGCAGCCATAACCGCCGCACCATATGCGACAGCCTCATCCGGGTTTAGGCTCTTGCATAACTCCTTCCCGTAGAATAGTTTCTGCAACATTAACTGGATCTTTGGTATTCTGGTTGACCCACCAACAAGAATCACCTCGTGTACACTTGATTTCTTCATCTTTGTATCACGTAAACATGCCTCTACAGTCTCCATGCAGCGATCAAAATAACCCATGTTGAGCTCTTCAAATTTAGCCCGACTAAACTTCATACAGAAATCAATCCCCTCATGCAAGCAATCTAGTTCGATCGAAGTCTGAGTATCGCATGAGAGAATCCTTTTTGCTTTCTCACAAGCACATCTTAGTCTCCCCACTGCTTTTTTATTAGGCTTCAAGTCTTTTTCCCATTTCCTTTTGAATTCCTGAACACAGTGATCCACCATGCGATTATCAAAATCCTCGCCTCCCAAATGGGTGTCACCAGAAACGGCTTTCACCTTAATGATATGAGCTCCTTCCACAATTGTCAATATAGAGACATCAAAAGTGCCACCACCCAAGTCGAAGACGAGCACATTTTTCTTTTTCTTTTTTGTTTTGATCAAAGACTTATTGATGTCTAGACCATAAGCAATTGCAGCTGAAGTAGGCTCGTTGATCATGCTAATGATGTTGAGTCCGGCAATAGCACCAGCATCCTTTGTTGCATGACGTTGTGATTCGTTGAAGTAAGCTGGAACAGTAATGACAGCGTTTTTCACGGGTTTTCCAATGTATGCTTCAGCGGTTTCTTTCATCTTCCTAAGAACCATTGATGATATTTCTTCAGCTAAAAATTCCTTTGTTTCACCTTTGTAGGAGACAGAAATCTTTGGTGTGTCGGCAGGACCTTCTATGACCTTAAAAGGCCATAATTTCATGTCATCCTGCACTTTGGAATCACTGAACCTCCTTCCGATCAACCTCTTAGCATCTGAAGTTCGACATGCATGTATATTTAATTAATTAAGCCAATAGCAAAATTGTAAAAATTAGCTATATCAGTAACGATTTTAATTCAAAAGTAAATTTTGTTGAAATGCTATATGAGGAGCTGTACAAGTTGGACTGAAAGGGAAGCTCAGTCTTGGCTAAAACAACTTCTGGATCTTCATTCATCATGTTTTCACGTTGCTTTTGCTTAAAAGTAAAAAGTGTAATCGAGACTTTCCACCATTTCCACAGAAAAAGGCAGCCGTGTATTTAATTAGTTGCTTGTTCAAATGGTTCTTCTTCAAAGTTCAAACTCTTCCAGAGACATTGAACCAAAAAACCCTAGAACTTTAAAATCGAACCATCGGGTGGCGTTGCTTTTAAATTTTAGTTTATAAATAGGATCAAAGACTTCAGACTTCAGTGGACTTAAATGTATCAGACTCCGGTTTTGACGATTCATATGTTTCTTAAAATATGTATTTTTTTCCTTGCTCTTAATCATAGTAATATAACAGCACTCAATAAACCCTAGAAAAAGAAAGAGAAGCTTACCAAATATGGTGTTGGCAGGGTTTATGGCCGCTTGGTTCTTGGCGCCATCGCCAATGAGACGCGCTGCATCAACGAAAGCAACACAAGACGGTGTCGTTCGATTACCTTGATTATTGGGAATAATTTCGATGCGATCGTGCTTCCAAACGGCGACACATGAATAGGTTGTTCCGAGATCAATGCCGATGGGCGGTGCATCGTCTCCCATTTTCTCCATTGCAACCAAAATTTAAAATAAATTAAATGTTTGCTTCCAAGCGGCGATGCTGTTCCAAGGTCTATGTAGGCGATACTCATAAATTACTCACAGGCAGAGGCTATTCATATACCCCCTGTTTTTATTAAATTTTATTATTTTTATATTATATTAACATTATTTAATACATTTAAATATTATAGTACTAATATATTGATAACAACTAGAAAGGTTACCCCGCTACGCGGGGGCCAGAAGTTTTCAATGTTGTCACTACAAGGAAAAGGCCATTACCGGCGACAAAAGTCGCCGGTAAAAGTCCAAAAAGTCGCCGGTAATACTAATAGCGGCGACGCGTCGCCGGTACTGAGTCGCCGCTACTGATTCGTCGCTATTGATCACTTTGTCGCCGCTAATGAGAAAAGTCGCCGCTATTGACCATGTTGCCGCCAATGAGTTGAGTCGCCGCTAATAAGCGTGTCGCCGGTAAAAGTGTCGCCGGTAATAACAGTTTTCATTTTTTTAATTTTTTTTTAATTAATGATTTTGGTTGGCGGTGATAATGTCGCCGGTAATAACAATATTCGATTAAATATCAAAAATAATAGTGTCGACGCTAATTACAAATTAAATATTAACAAACATCCGATTAAATATCAAACATAATAGTGTCAATGCAAATTACAAACAAACATCCGATTACAATTAAATATCAAAAGTCATAATATCCGAGTAGCAAAACAACCAAAGTTTTACAATCTACCAAGTAGCAAAGCATGACAACATATGCAAATAAAACACATCCTTACATACCATCATCTTCGTTCCCATTGTTTTCTTGATTATTGTGGGATTGAAAAAACGAATAAAGCTCATCCCTACATGCCGGGTCGCTGAGCATTGCTCGAAGATTTTCCAACTACATAATTAATAACAATATATATATATATATATATATATATATATATATATATATATATATATAAACTTATAAGTTAGATTGTCAAACATAAACAAAAATTATCAAAATACATTGCTATTTTAAAACTTAGATAGAAAACCAAAGTACATTGCTATTTCTTGCACTTGGGACAAAAACCCAATTACCAAAATTTTTAGCAAATAATCACCACAAAACCAAATTACCAATTCAACATGCATTTTACGATGCTAAAGTAGATTGCTATTTTAAAACTAAGATAGAAAACCAAAGTACATTGCTATTTCTTGCACTTGGGACAAAAACCAAATTACCAAACTTTTTAGCAAATAATCACCACAAAACCAAAATTACCAATTCAACATGCATTTTACGATGCTAAAGTAGATTGCTATTTTAAAACTAAGATAGAAAACCAAAGTACATTGCTATTTCTTGCACTTGGGACAAAAACCAAATTACCAAACTTTTTAGCAAATAATCACCACAAAACCAAAATTACCAATTCAACATGCATTTTACGATGCTAAAGTAGATTGCTATTTTAAAACTAAGATAGAAAACCAAAGTACATTGCTATTTCTTGCACTTGGGACAAAAACCAAATTACCAAACTTTTTAGCAAATAATCACCACAAAACCAAAATTACCAATTCAACATGCATTTTACGATGCTAAAGTAGATTGCTATTTTAAAACTAAGATAGAAAACCAAAGTACATTGCTATTTCTTGCACTTGGGATAAAAACCAAATTACCAAACTTTTTAGCAAATAATCACCTCAAAACCAAAATTACCAATTCAACATGCATTTTACGATGCTAAAGTAGATTGCTATTTTTAAATTACGACAAAAAACCAAAGTACGTTGTTATTTTTTGCACTTGGGACAAAAACTTAATTACAAAACTTTTTAGCAAATAATCACCACAAAACCAAAGTAGATTGTTTTACCTGTGATGGTTGTGATGGTTGTGGTGATGGTTGCGAAGGCTGTGGAATCGGCTGGAGAGCAGAAGGTTTACGGCCAATGCCTCTAATATGGCCACGTCGCTCTCCTAATACTTTCTCAAACGCAGCTCTTTCTTGAGCGGGAGTTAACTGACTTTCACCTTGAGTTTGTTCTAACAGCTCTTCAACTAACCGATTCTGTAACTCCCAAAAGTGAGTAACAATTAAGTATAAATAAACATTTAATTATATGATAAAATTATAATTAAATACTTACATACTGTTGTTCCGCCTCAGCAGTAACAAATATACCATTCTTATCGGTATGAGCTTTGCGAAACGTTTCCACTCTCTTCAGGTTCTGTTTAAATTTAAAAATTAGATTATATTTTAAATAAATAATTACATGTATCGTACGTTACCTTCTTATAGCAAGTACTGCTATACGAGCTCGACCCCCCACGATTCACATTTGTTTGCATTTCACGGATTTTTTTGTTCCTTTCTGAAGCAATTTTGTGTTCGTCCGTTTGAAAATACTCAACTGCCTTCGCCCAGTTATCAACTAGCATACCCTCCGGAGGATTGGCTAATGCTCCCGGGATATCATCATACCCTCCAACTGACTTAAAATATTCTTTTGCGTCAGCTTTACGTTCTCGATAAACTTTTAACAAAGCTGCTTGAAAACTCTCTGTCAACAGATTAGCTTGTACATCCTGGTACATCTGATCCAAATCAAACTTTGTCTACAAAAAAAAAATAAGTTAACCAAGTAAAAAACAATTATAGTTAACCATATAAAATATATTTAAATAAATAATTACCGCTAAATGTTGTAATACGGTGTCCTGTATTGAAGGGGAAACTTTTTTCCAAGTCCATTTGTCAAACGGGACCATCTGCCACATTGTTTTTCCAACTTCTCGGGAAAACATGTCTTTCGGCTCTCCTACGGGATCAAATGTGATATCCCTATCATATTGCAAGCTAATTGGTTTCCCCTGGTTCCGTAAGATTGCTTTTTCAAGTTTTATGTTTTTTGCTTTGCCTCGAACTTTCCTTCGGGCACGTTCCTCAACTACAAATATAATTAAAAATTATTAGAAACGATATTTAATTTATAATAATTGAACAAAAATATTAAATAAAAATTCATAATAAGATTTACCGTCTTGCTCATGCTGACCAGCACCTCTACCACCTGGGATAGGTGGGTCCTCAGCTCCGTCTCCCCCATGTCCACGACCCATGACAGCAGCCATGGTATACATAAACAAAATCCATATGCTCATCATTTCCTGAAAAACTATAAGATATACAAATACAATTATTATTACAGATACACATTACATAAAAATAAACATTTACATAGGAATACACATTTCTATTTAAACTAGAAATCCAAATAAAGTTCATATTACAAACACATATTACAAACACATATTACAAATACACATTACATAACAACTATTCTAATCTGAATCTTCCTCATATCCTTCAGTGTCTTCTTCGGTATCATAATCAGAATCGGTCTCATCGTAATCAGTCTCGCAATCAGAAACATCATTGACTCTACCAGTTGGCGGAGGAACTTCAGTTGCAATTTCTACATCAACAATGACTCTAGGAATGTTTTGAAAGTACATGCTGAAATCGATAAAAAGTGGAGCATCGGATGAAGAGATATTTTGAAGTACATCGACATTGTCTACATTTTCGTGTGAGACATTGTCAACATTTTGAACAAGGTCATTGTTCGATGGTAGATCCCAAATACTTCGATGATTAACATGCTCGACAACACACCGATGGTTATTGTTTGGCTCTCTGATGTAGAACACTTATTTGACTTGTGAAGCATATATGAGTTGATCATCTTTGTATGCTTCGCGTCGTGTGTCGATACTGGTGAAATTATCACTAGAAATAACTCATGTTCGAGTATCAAACCACTTGCAACGAAATAGTACAGTTGAATAATCATGTGTATACCTCAACTCTATAATCTCTTCTCACTGGCCATAATATTTCTCGCCTTTCTCACCCACCGCTAAAACCCCAGAGTTTTGTGTTGTACGTTGTGTGTCACGACTAAGTACCATAAACCTAACACCGTTGACTATGCATGCGGTGTAAGAATAAGCATTCATTTGCGGACCCATTGCAAGAGCCGACAACTCTTTGTGGAATTCTGGAGAGTTTTCTATTTTCATTTGATGAACCTAGAAATTATAAATTAATATGTATTATGTATTCGTTAGATCAATGAAACAAATTTGTTTATTAATTTATATTATCTTTTCACGAAACCAATTACGAAATTCTCTCTTTTCATCAATTTGGGGATGCTCAGATTTGAATTTCCTATGTTGATGACCAAAAGATATAGATTTAAAAAGATAAAAAAAATTAAGGATGAAAGTTAGAGATAAGATTAATTACTTGATATACTGTCTGACTTCTTCACAGCTATTCAATACAAACCATTCCATGTTATGCATTTCCGTTAAATTAAGAGTTTTGATTTGAGTTGTACTGGCCGGTCGAAATTTAGACTCAAACATCCAAAACTTTGTTTTTTCAATGACAACATCTTCATTTCTTTCCGGACGATTCTTTACATCTTGAAGGTACATCGAACAAAATGATAAAGCTTCTTCAGCAACATAACCCTCAACTATACAACCTTCCGGCTTCGCCTTGTTTCTGACATAGTTTTTTAGTCTTTTCATATACCTTTCGAAGGGATACATCCATCTCATACTAACCGGGCCTCCGGCAATCGCTTCATCAGGTAAATGCAAAACTAAATGAACCATAATGTCAAAAAACGTTGGAGGATAAATCAATTCTAACTTGCACAAGATTGCAATAATGTCTACTTTTGCTTTCCTCATATCCTCCACCTTCAATGTTCTGGAACAAAGTTGCCTGAAAAACGTACAAAGGTCTACAATAGGTGTATACGTATCTTTGTCTAACAACCCTCTTACTCCAATCGGTATCAAACGTTGCATAAGAATGTGGTGATCATGCGATTTCAACCCAATAATGTTAGTATTGGTATCGTTCACTTTCTTACTGATGTTAGAACCAAACCCATCCGACAGTTTAACC